TCTGTTCTAACCCAGAAAGGAGGGGAAATTTGCATTGATTTTTAAGGGCTAAACTCAAGAGGCTTGCTCATCCCAGCTGAGAGGATTTTGCAAGACAGTTTTCTTCTTTCCTAAAGTAATTTACATGTAGTTGTTGATAACCAAAAAAAAATGTCACAAGGGTAATACCCACTGTCAAAGTGAGGTTTGAAGATCCCCTGGGTCTTGTGACCAAGGTTAAATAAAGTATGTAACTACAACAGATTTTCTTTCTGTTTTGTTTTTGGAAGCTCTGTGCAAAAGCTACCACTCACAGGATGAACAAATACCTTTAAATATTCTAGTTGTTTTTTAATGCTTGTTTGATTTGCAAAATTAGTTTCACTACATAAATCCCTGTCCCATAAGCCAAGTTCACAGGTGTAAAACTCTGCAGTTTCTGTAGATTCAGTAGAAGAGATTTCTTTTGTTTAAACCCTAAATGTGGATTACAGAAATCACATATGCAGTTTTTAAGGAAATGGTTACATTCAGAAATAACCTTGGAAAGTTCACCAATGATTCCTTCTAGCACGAAAAGTCTCGTATAATTCTGGTCCTGCGTTGAGATATCCATTCCAGTTTATACTGTAAGATCTTTCGAAGTAGGTGTCCAGCTGCCCGCTGTTACTGTAAGTACCGATAGACCTTGAAACAGTGGTTTCCAGAGTCTGCAACCACCACGTGGCCGTCTGAAGTGAGGGCCAGGCCCTGGGGGCCGTAGAGGGGGTCAGCAGATGTGTTGATGTAGGACAGAAATGATCCACTTCCATCGAAAACCTGTAAATACAGAGTCAGAGTGTGATGGGGAAAGTAATACAATGATTTTTGTATGTTGACCTTGTCCCCTGTGACCTTGCTGAACTCACTTATTCATTCTAGCTACTGTTTCATAGGTTTCTTGAGTTTTTTTACGTAAATAATCATGTTATCTAATAGGGAGAGTTTACTTCTGTCTAATTTGTAAGCTTGCTATTTCCTTTTCTTTCCCTATTGTGTTGGTTGAAACTTCCAGCACTATGTTGAATAAGAATGGTGAGAGCAGACATCCTTGCCTTATTCTGATCTTAGAGGAAAAGACTTCAGTCTTTCACCATTAAGTATGGTGTTAGCAGTAGGTTTTCATAAGCGTTCTTTATCAAATTGAGAAAGTTCCCAGTTTTCTGAGACTTTCTGTTCCTGAATAGGTATTGAATCTTATTCAATGCTTTTTCTGCATCAACTGATACGATCATATGACTTCTATTCTTTGGCCTTTTAATATGATGGGTTACGCTGATTTCTGAATATGGAATCAGGCTTGCATTCTTGGAATAAACCCCACTTGGCCAAGGAAAGATTTTCACATATTGCTGAATTCTGTTTACTAATATTTTGTTAAGTGTTTTTGCATCTATATTCGTGAGGAACATGGTCTGCAGTTTTCTTTTTTTGTATCGTCTTAGGCTGGTTTTGGTATCATAGCATCAAAAGCTGAGTTGGAAAGTGAATTGTATCTTCTGTTGGTTGGAAGAAACTGAACTGGTGCTAATTCTTTTTTAAACATTTGGTAGCATTCTCTAGGGAAACCAGCTGAGTCTGGAGATTTCTTTTCGGGGAGCTTTTCAGTTATTAAACTAAATTTCCTTAATAGCCCTAGGGCTATCCAAATTATTTACTTTATATTGGGTGAGGTGAGGGGTTTGTACTTTTTGAGAAATTAGTCCATTTCATCGAAGTGGTAAAATGGCTGCATGCAGAGTTGTTCACAGAATTCCTTATTATCCTGTTGATTCCTGTCATGACACTAGTATTTTGTGTCTGTGTTTTTTTCTGTCAGTCTTGCTAGGTTTGTCAGTTTAATTGATCTTTTCAAAGAACCAGCTTTCTATTTCATTGATTTCCTCTATTTTTCTTTCTTGAGTTTAACTGATTTCTTTTTTGTGTGTATATATATATATAAAATTGAAGTATAGTCAGTTTACAATGTTGTGTCAATTTCTGATGTACAGCACAGTGCTTCAGTCATATGTGAACATACATATATTTGTTTTCATATTCTTTTTCACCATAAGTTACTACAAGATATTGAATATAGTTCCATGTGCCATACAGTGTATTGTTGTTTATCTATTTTATATATATTAGTATCTGCAAATCTCGGACTCCCAATTTATCCCTTCCCAACCTCTTCCCCCTCTGGTGACCATAAGTTTGTTTTCTATGTCTGTGAGTCTGTTTCTGTTTTGTAAATAAGTATGTTAGCCTTTTTCTTTAGATTCCACATATAAGTGCTATCATATGGTATTTTTCTTTCTCTTTCTGGCTTATTTCACTTCGAATGACGATCTCCAGGTCCATCCGTGCTGCTCCAAATGGCATTATTTTATTCTTTTTTACGGCTGAGTAGTATGAGTTGAACTGATATCTGATATATCGTCTCTATTTCCTGCCTTCAGCTTGCTTTCAGTTTGTTTTGCTCTTCTTCTAGTTTCTTGAGGTGGGAGCTTGGGTTCTTGATTTGAGACTTGTCCTCTTTTCTGTAAATATTCAGTGCTATTAATTTCCTTCACGGATAGAATGGTGGTTACCAAGGAGTGAGGATGGGGGAGAAATTGGTCAAAGAGTACAAACTTGCAGTTGGAAGATGAATCAGTTCTGGGGATCTAATGCACTAGGTGGTTCTTATAGTTATAACACTATTCTATGTACTTGAAAGTTGCTAAAAGAGTAGATTTAAATGTTCTCACACACACACACACACACACACACACACACACACACAAAAGGTAATTATGTGTCGTGATGGAAGGTTTAGCTAAAACTACAGTGGTAATCATTTTGCAGTATGCAAGTGTTTCAAATCAACATGCTGTATACCTTAAACTTACACAATGCATGTCAATTATATCTCAATAAAGATAGGGAAAAAAAATTTCC